CCTGTAATCCCAGCACTTGGGAGGCTGAGGCAGGAGGATCATTGCAAATTTGAGGCCAGCCTGGGCTACAAAGTGAGTTCAAGGCCAGCCTGAACTGCATAGGGAGACCCTGTCTCAAAAAGACAAAAAAAAAGGCATGGTGTTTCAGTGCTGCCCTTGGCAGCCACGCCCACATTTCAGCTGTGTTTTTTGGGAGTCTGCAGGCCTGCGGTCTGCCTTTGCCCCAACTCTGCATTTGGGAAGATAAGACCGGGAGTTGGTCTCTCTCCTGGGCAGTGGGTGATGCGACAGTGCTGGGGAGGGGGACAGCCTGGCTGGGCTGTGCGGTGACTTAAAGGAGGTGCAGAGGGCGACATCTGTGCCCCTGAGCCTTTGCAGTTTCCCTGTTCTCTGTGTTCTGGGGGCTCCTGGCGCTGCACGGCCTGAGGACCCGCCTCAGAGCCGGGCCTCTCTCTCTCTGGCGCTTTCCGGAAGCACCCTGGAAACTGGTGAATGGTCACTCACACGTGTGGTCCTTGCACTGGGGACACTAAAGCAGGAGGATCTTGAGTTCGAGGCCAGCCTGCACTGCATAATAAGACCCTGTCTCCGCGTTAAATAAAGGTCTGGAGTCACCGCGGCTGAGTGACACCTTCCCTAGGTGAGGCCGGGTGCAGGTCTTGTTAAAGTGACTCTCAGCCAGGTGTGGTGGCACACGCCTGTAATCCCAGCACTGGGGAGGCTGAGGCAGGAGGATCACTGTGAGTTTGAGACCCGCCTGGGCTACAAAGTGAGCTCAAGGCCAGCCTGAACTGCACAGCGAGACCCTGTCTCAAAAAAGACCAAAAAAAAAGAAAAAAGAAAGAAAGAAAAGAAAGAAGTGACTCTCAGCCCACCACAGGGCGTCCCCATGGCTCCAGCGGGGGCGGGACTGGCTGGGGCTTCCGAGCGCGCCTGACCCCTCTCTTCCCTGCAGTGTACCACTGGGTGGAGATGCGGACCAAGATGCGCATCATGGGCTTCCGGGGCACGGTCATCAAGCCGCTCAACGAGGAGGCGGCCGCCGAGCTGGGCGCAGAGCTGCTGGGCGAAGCCACCATCTTCATCGTGGGCGGAGGCTGCCTGGTGCTGGAGTATTGGCGCCACCAGTCGCAGCAGCGCCACAAGGAGGAGGAGCAGCGCGCGGCCTGGAACGCGCTGCGGGACGAGGTGGGCCACCTGGCGCTGGCGCTGGAGGCGCTGCAGGCGCAGGTGCAGGCGGCGCCGTCGCAGGGCGCCCTGGAGGAGCTGCGCACCGAGCTGCAGGAGGTGCGCGCCCAGCTCTGCGCCCCTGACCCGCCGCCCGCGCGCCAGACCGCGTCTTCCTCCAAGAAATAGGGGTGCAGAGGCCTGGACTTGAGTGTGGTGCCGCGTGCCCCGCCTTGGCCGCCTCCCTGAACTCGCTGGCCCAGGGGAAACAACCAAGATCTGGATGGGACTTGGCGTTTGGTCATTCCCTACTGGAGGAACAGGGCTACCTTCCCCTGCTTCCCCTGGGACAAGGCCGGCAGGGGACGCGCCTCACAGCCCCCTCCAGCCCCTGCTCCGCACCCGCCACAGTGCTCACCTGCCACCCAGGCCCCCAGAACGCAAGGCCGTGGCCAGCAGGACTGTGTGCTGTCCCTCGTCCTCCTGTTACCCTGCCTTTCCCCCTTGCCCCGCCACTGGAGGAATGTCCCCTCTGTCAGCTGGCTCTGTGGAATGCACTTGTCCCTGTGTGGCTTCTCAGGTCACTCCAGCTGGGCATCTCTGCCCTGTTGGAGGAGAGAAGGGGGGATCCTGGCCTGCGGCACTGGTGGGCTCATGTTCCTATCCCCCTCGCTTCACCTTCCCCCAGACGCCAAGTGGGTATTCCTGCAGGACGCCCCTCAGCCCTGGGGCAGTGGCACAGTCCACCGGCTGGCGCTGCAGGGTCTTGTGTGGCGCTGTCCCCCACCGCCTCCCGTCGAGGAGACTGATCCCCACGGGGCGTCATCCTGTCCGTCTTCGTCCTCAGCCGCTCCCTGTCCTCAGAGGCCCCGAACCTTGTGCCCCGGGGCGCACCCTCTCCTACCTTGCCACCATCGTCGGCATCTCCCAGGCTGGTGGCCTGTGCGTTGGATCGTCACCCCTCCCTCTTCCCTGCACACCCTTCCATCAGGATGCCCTGGCCCTGGACTAGAATCTCCTCATGTGGCGGGACCCCTTGCCTGTGGAGGCCCAGGCCTCTCCTCCGTCCCACTAGACGAGGGGAACCGTTGGTCTCACCTGTTTTCAGTTCTCTGCACTGCCGTAAATCACTCAGAAGAGCAGGAGTTTGTTCTCGCAGCTCTGGAAGCCAAAAGTTCAGATGAAGGAGTCAGCAGGGCCACACCCGCTTCCACTTTCTGGTGATTCCAGGCCCCATCGGCAGGTGGCCTGCTCCCCCTCTTCTGTCTCTTAGAAAGACAGCTGTCACCCAGGCGTGGTGGCGCACGCCTGTAATCCCAGCCCTTGGGAGGCTGAGGCAGGAGGATCATTGTGAGTTTGAGACCAGCCTGGGCTACACAGTGAGCTCAAGGCCAGCCTGAAGTGCATAACGAGAGCCTGTCTCAAAAAGACAGTAAAAAAAAGATAGCTGTCGCTGAATTTAGGGCCCACCCAGAATCCAGGGTGCTCTTACCTCAGGATCCCTAATGGCATTAACAAAGACCCTTTTTCCAAACAGGGCCACATTCACAGGTTCCAGGAGTTAGGGCGTGGATATAGCTTTTGAGGGTCCACCATCCCCCCATTACACACCCCCCCGGAGGACGGGACTCCTGCAACCTCGAGGGCCCCAAGGCATTGGGAGCGGGGGACCTGCCGGCCCTTTCAGAGCAGCCCCAGGTCTCTGCACTTGGTGAGCAGGGCGTCACCCCCAGGCCCAGTCCCATGAGGGTGCAGGTGGGTGAGGCGGGACTTTCTTTCCTCCTCTAACAGCCCAGGGACTAAATGGCGCCAGGACACAAGAGCCACCAAACAGAAAAGCAAGAAGCTGGACTTCGCAGGTGGCGTCTTCCTTCCTCCCAAAAGGGGGAGAGACTGGTATGGGGCCGGGTGGGGCCCGCTGGGGATGTCCTTAAAGTCAGGCGTGACTCAAGTGGGTGCAGTAACGAAGGCAGGGGACAGATGCCACTGCACGAAGGTGACAGGGACAGAGCCAGGGGGAGGCTCGGTGCCTGGTTTCCATGGTTACTCTTGGGGAGGCGGTGCACCCTGGCTCTGACATCGCTCATGATTTTCCTCTGTGTAGTGGCAAATTGTCATTGTCACCACAAGTCAGAGGCTCTGAGCTCTAGCTAGGGGCCTGCACTGTTCTAAGTGCTTTGCATAAATGGGCACAGCAGTAGGTCTCCCAAGGCCCTGATGAGGAAACAGGCAGAGAGGGGCAGTGACCTGCTGCAGGTCACCCAGGCAGGGAAGAGGCAGGGATGGCAGCCTGGGCCCGAACCCCAGCCCCTGCGGGGTGCCTCAGCCCCGTAGGGCTCTGCTGTCACGCCCGGGAACCTGGGAACACAAGCTGCCGTGTGCCCGCAGGTGGCCGGTCCCACTGGGGTGGTGCCGGGGGTGGGGTCGGGTGTGTGCCAGGGGGCCAGGGCCCCTTCTCCAAGTGCACGGGGCCAGAGCGCACTTCATGGTTCTGGCTTCCAACTCGCTAACTTTGTACGTTTTGTGCCGTGGCAAGAGGAATTAAAATAAATGGATAGTAAAGCTGGGTGTCTTCAAGTTTATGCATTCTTTATTTATATTTCAAGATCACCGTTACATTCAGAAAAAATGTCGTTCGTGTATTGTGTCATTTGAGAAATTTCAGTCATTCACTGCATACAGAGCCAGTTCTGCACCGTGCTGGGGTCATGGAGGTGGCCGAGGCTGCCCAGCCCCGTCCTCCTGGGGCTCACTGGGACAGACGCACAGACAGACACTTCCTTGTCACTTGCTGTGGTTGGGAGGGGAAGGATGGGCCAAGATTCCTCCTCCTCAGTGACTCGGTGTGGGGACAGGAACCTGCTCTCAAAGCCTCAAAGGGCTCTGCCTTGCGCGTCTCCTGGCCGGCTTTGTCACCTGGGTCTGTGTCAATGCTGGGTGGGCCTGTGCCCGGAAGTGGCCTGGATGGCTGAGAGCCACCCCAGGAGAAGAGGGACTTGGAGTAAGTGAGCCGCAGGGAGCGGCAGGCAGCTACCCTAAGAGCATGGAGAAGTGTGTTAACTATTGTTACTCTCCTCATCTTGCGAAATTCTGTTTTACCTTTTTTTCCCTTAGGAAAAAAAAACAACTAACTTTTATTGAAGATCTGTGATGTATTGTTCTGAATGAGAGATTCTATGTATGCCTGCCATATAACTTGATGATAGTATGGAAGGTAAATTGATATGTGAAAAAAATCAATAAAATCTTCATTAAGAAATATGTTGATGAAAAAAAAAAGAGCATGGAATCCTTGTGAGTGGCTACGTAATCATTCCTGGGGTTCCCGGTAGAAGCATTACCCGTACAAGCCACACATTGTGTGACATGCCGTGTGAGGAGAGGTACATTTTCTGCCATACGTAATTCTGTAATATGACGTTATATTATCACATGTGGGGATATCGCTGGAAATAAAACCACTAAGCACCTGAGCACAGTCTGATATTTTGTTTGATTTTTCTTTCTAAGGCTGTACTTAAAAATCTCTCACCAAGATGGTTTGGACACCAATAGACTGTAATCATGGGAGATTTTCTATAAGATGAATTCATTATAATTTGATCATTTGCAAAGAACTTACCACAAGTTATTAATAAGAGAATTTCTCCTTTACTTTCTTCAGTTGAATTCTCTTGAAAACTAAAACCAGTGTTTCCACCCTCCGGAGCTAAAGTTCACCCGTGACCACCTTGGGAGATGCTCGGTTTCTGTTCACCAGAAACACAGACTGTGGGCACTGTTTCCATTTTCTTCTCAGGCCAAAGGTTTCAACTCCGTTACCTTCTGCAGGCGGTGGAAGGCTTGCGGTGGCCCTGTTAGTAGCATAGCCAAGGTTTAATGATGGCGCTGCTGATACAGTGCAAGGCCAGCCTGGATGCCCTTGGTGACTGCAATCACAGTGCCCCTGGTCACATCGCTTCCCCCAGACGAGACGGAGGCAGAGAGTGCTGTGCTCTGTGAAACCCTGAATTGGGGACCCCCAGCCCGGAGCTGGTCCTCAGCGCGTCACTTGGCGGATGACGCTAACATGAGGAACACCCTGCAGGTAGCTCAGATCTCTCAGCCTTGGCAGAGGTGCTTCTGACATCGGCTCAGCTCCCCGAATCATTGCTTGATTGCTTTCCCCTGCCTTCAGAAGCTACTGCAGGACAGACTTCTTGGAGACGATCTCCTAGGGCGAGTGGTTGTCTGTCTGCAGCTACAGGACAGAACAGCTTCTGAATGGGAGGCCATTCGCTCATAGTCTGGTGTTTCCTAAAGGGAGATTGAGAAAGTGCATGTTCTTCTGCCAGACATCCAGGAGTTTGCCGATGGCCCCAGATGCTCAAATCTGTCATCTTGTAGCACCCCCCTTCCCCCGCAAGCTGTTTTGATCTTTTTTTCTGCATCTCATTGATCTCTTGATTTTCATGCTTTACAACATCAGCTTCTTTTGTACGAGACAGAAAATGAGTTTCAGCTACCTCCTTCGACCTTCAGCACTTTTCTGGAAAACTCTAAAAATGTACCGAGATCCCAAGGAGTAGGTGATCCAGAGCAAGGTCAAATATCAAAGCACCTGGGTTACGCTGGGTCAGATTCCATGGCAGACAGCTTCCTCTTGGCAAAAGCAAAGACTATGGTTCTGCTTCCCTTTCAGTTATCTCATCCTGATACAGAGTGAAGCAAGTTGGAATTCATCGAGACTACACATCTTGAAACACATCTCTGTCATCTTTTAAAATGCAGTATACCAGCCTGGTGCCATGGCTGAACCTGTTGTCCCAGTTACTCTGGAAGCTGAGGCTGGAGGATCACTGGACCCTAGTTCAAGGCCGGCCTGGCTGGGCAACATAGCCAGACCTCTTCTAGAAACATTGTTAACAAGACTGGGCGTGGTGGTTCACACCTGTAGTTCCAGCACTCGGAGGCTGAGGCAGGAGGATCTTTGCGAGTTTGAGACCAGCCTGGGCTACAAAGTGAGCTCAAGGCCAGCCTGAACTGCAGAGCGAGACCCTGTCTCAAAAAGACAAAAACAAAAAACAATGTTAACAACAAACAAAAACACAGGTGGGGATGCTGCTCAGTAGAAGAGTGCTTGTGGGCACTAGGCCTGGGTTCGACCCCTAGCACCACAAAAAACGCCACAAAACAACATTAAACTCGTTATATGTATTATATACATGTGGGTTATGTATGCAAAGGCCAGGGGAACCCACCAAGTGTGCAGAGGTCCAGCCCCGCCTCTGCCAGGTCTGCAGCGCCCTCTTGCGCTAATGTTTGCGCAGATGTGGGGGTGGCAGGACCCGGAGGGCGGGGCTCTCCTTGTAAGGCCTGGTGATACTCCTCAGCACCTTGACTCCTCCATCAGATTCTGCCCTGGTGTCTGCCCAGGGACAGACTGGAAGAAGGAAGCCAGTGGAGGTGATAGACCTAGACCCTGGCCTCCGGGCTGCCCTGGCCCCGGCTTGGCAGTGCCAGGACAGGCTGCCGAGAGGCGCCACCCCAGGGGAGGGCCGATGGGGACCTGGAGACATAGGGGCTCCATTATGTCGAAGGTGCTTGCTTCGCTCCGCCACACCTCTGTGTCTTGATATTTATTTTACAGTCTTTTCATAAAAGTTCAGTTATGTCCAATAAATCAGCCTCCTCCCTGGAAAGAACCCTGTGGCTCCAAAAGAACAATAAGGCTTATTTACAGGGGATGCCATTTCCTCATGTACAACAACCTACAATTACTTAGGAGTAAAATCTACTTTCTTGTATGTTTATTTGTTTTTTGAGACAGGGTCTTGACATGTAGTTCAGGCTGGCCTTGAATTCACTGTGTATCACAAGCTGGCTTTGAATTTGCAGTGATCATTCTGCCTCAGCCTCCCAAGTGCT